ACTGCAATGGGGAGGTGGCTTTGACTAAGGATATCAAGGCAAACCTCAACTCTTAAAAAGTGTTTCTTGAAATCTTTAATGTCCATGCAGAACAGCCTTTAATAGCAAGTTTCACAGACTGCCTATTGACTGCCAGCTAAACTCAGGATCTTAAATGGAGACAAAAACTACATTTTTTGGAATTATGAATAGGGCAAGCCATCTATTAGAGAGAACTCTGGAAAGTAATTGACTGGTGGTTACCAAGCATGAAAAGTCAATACCTGAATTGGCCCACAGGCTGTACAGTGGTTGTGGAGGATAAAATTGGGATAAACATCCTATGGAAGTATCCTACACTTTGCAGTTTTAGCAATAGACTATAGGCTTTTTATAGATCTATTACATATACACAAATTTTCTTCAGGCTCTGTGACATAGTATATGTTGGCTAGATGGTAGCAATATTCTATAATTCATCTTTCCCTCTTAGAAATAATAGACACTGGCTGAACCTGTATTGCTAGCTGCATATACTGAAACATTTCATTTATGGTTCCATAGAACTCTCATAATTGGCTGTTTGTTAATTCTATTGAGTATGTCTTTTTATGTTGCCGATAGACTGAGGGATGTTTGGTACAGCATAGTGATCAATAAATCTCTAATAGCAATGTTTGTTATAATTTCACACTCATCCCCTTGACTGCCTTGGGATCAGGAATAGGCCCTTTAAGTGTAAACGTAGAGAAAGATACTTGCCTTGTAACAGAGTTGGAACCCTCCGCTTACATGTGTGACACGTGGATATCCACTTTATTACATGTATTTGGAATAGGATTGCTCTCTGCACTTTGTTGTGTACTTTTCTTCCGGCAAAATGCAATAAAGGAAAAGTTTAACTACAATGAATGTTGACTCACACTAGGACAGGTTGAAGTATTTGTATAAAGCATTACAGAACTGCATGCACTTTGTCCTCACAGTTTGCCTCTCTTTAAGTAAACACACTTGTTCAGTTTTCTGTCCTCCACACTTTAAACACTAAGTTAAGGTAGAAGTGCAGGGTCCAATCATGCTACCATTTGAAGTCAGTCAAAACTCCCATTGATTTAAAGGGAACAGGAACAGATCCAGAATGATCCGCCCATAGCGAAGTCAGGGGACAGATTACAGAGAGGTTGGTTGTGCTAGTTTGACTTCTCTACCAGAAACTTAGCCCCAAGTAAGCATAGGGTAAAATAAACCTCACTTGCTTGTAGCAGTGAAGCACTGTTTCAGGACTGTGCTGGATCTAGTCTTCCTGGCCGCTATCAGTCAACGACATCCATCAATCTTTCAGTTTTAAAAGCATTGAAATTCACTAATTGTTTGAACAACCAGAGAGGAAAAAGCAACACTCAGATTGCCTATATCCATTACTCTGTTTGCCTTTAGGTAACTTGGCTAGTATGACTGGTAACTGAAGATGAAGTGAGCAGGAGGGTCTGTGACTGCTCCTTAGTACTTGGAGCATACTCTGCTCCCAGGGGGGTGGAAGGGCTTTATGTTGTTCCAATAACGGCCAAGTGTTGGGCTCAAAGGAGTTCTCTCCAGTCTTCCACACGGTGGGAATGGAATGTGGATACTATGACAGGAGATGATTAGGGCTTAGAGTGGGGAGAATGCAGAGGGCGCTGATAGGGATGTGGCCAAAATAATACTGAAAGTGCTTTTTGGAAACCAGGGAATTATACTGTACATTCTATAGAACAAAAAGCTGCAGTTACAGGATGTTAAGTGAGCTTTTACCCAGCAGCTTTATTTACTCTTAAATTTCTGAACAGTAATAGACATTTTCCTTGAACTGCAGGCAGAGAGAGAGTAATTTGAGTGGAAGGGAACAAGTTCACTATGTCCTTTGCTTTTTACCACATTTCAGTTTTAAAACCCACCTTAGAATGTATAAAACACATCTTTAAGTTTTGAAAAGACAATGCCTCAAACAGTTGCTAAGTGATGCTCAAAAACATCAACTATGGAATATGGTATTATTATTATTGCAGAATAGTTTATTGTTCAAGGGCTGCTTAGCTTTATCACAATCAGTATATATTTTGATCACACTTCAGAGGATGCACATGAATGTGGTGTACTGAATTCCAGGGCACTTTAGGGAACTCAGCAACTTTCAGGCCTTATGATCATCACTTAGACAAAGAAAAAAAATCCACTTAAATCTTTTTACATTGTACGTATTATGCATACTCTGCCTGTGTGAAGCACAGCATATTTAGTATTCCAATATTTTCTAAGATTGGAGTTTAATCTTCACCACCACCTCTTAAGAATTGAAGTAACTAACTGTAATTTGACTTTGTAATATAAATTTAATTCCTAAATAACAGTCCTTGTTAGATTCTTCTTTATGGTATAAAATGGTGATTTCTTCTATTCATGTCTTAATTGTGAAACAACTCTACTTTGAATTTATAATATTCCAATTCTCATGTGGCATAATTGACTTATAAACTTTAGCATGATGTAACTTTAGAAAAATAGCCAATGGCAGGTCTTCCTAAATATATGCTCTAGCTCAGGGGTTCCCAAACTGGGGGTTGGGACCCCTCAGGGGGTTGTGAGGTTACTATATGGGGGGGGAGGGGTTTGCAAGCTGTCAGCCTGCACCCCACACCTCACTTTGCAGCCAGCATTTATAATGGTGTTAAATATATTAACAAGTGTTTTTAAATTTATGGAGGGGAGGGGCGCTACACTCAGAGGCTTGCTCCGTGAAAGGGGTCACCAGTACAAAAGTTTGAGAACCATTACTCTAGCTCAAATAGGAATTATTCAGAAAAGCCCTATGACTTGTGTTCTATCAGCAGTCAGACTTGATCACAGTAGTCCATTCTGGCTTTCTAATCTATTTTTTAAAATCAACAACATTTAATAAGAGAAGAGGCCTTGCATAAAACATTCATGCTCTGTATTAAAGTATGTGTGTAATTTTAAGAACACACAAGTCTGGAAAAGAGATGTTTTCTGTCTCCATACAGGGATAACTTTTTGGCCCCACTGAAGTCAAGGAGAGTTTTGCCATAGACTTCAATAGGACCATGAAGTCACTCTAGCTACTTAAAACAAAAAAGCCACCACAAACACTGTGGTACCTTTTGTTACCTGTTTTATCCCATTTGTTTACACTTCCTGACCGTCTCTATCAAGCTTTAAATTGAGGAACAGACCAAAGTATTCGGATTATAAAACTTAGTCTAAAATGTGGCAGACTTTGGTCCATCAAATACACCCACCTATATACAGAATAAAACCAAATAGAACTAAAGCTGCTCATCCAGATTTATTCACAAGGTTTATTAAGGAGATGAATAGATCAACTACTATATCCTACATAAAAGGATAACAAAAATTGGAATAGTAATATTGGTTTTACTATGCACATTAAGAGGTTCCCCGCCCATCTAATTTGACATGTTTTAAATTTAAAAAAAACCCCCAAAAAAACAAAATGATGACAGGCTTCTTCCTAAAGTGCCTACTCAACAAAACTTGCATAAAGTAAGACTACTTCAGGGCCCCATGGTGCTTCAAAGCAAATGGCACATGTACTGTTTAAGTACATTTGTTTCCTGACATGTTTAGGCTAGGTCCAAAGCATTCTAGTTGTATAAAATAAATGGGAGTAAGAAGGGTTATTCTTTAGGATTATCTCTTGACACCTAGTTGCGCATTGCTTGCCTATCCTAAACTCTCATTCAAATCAGTGGGAGTTTGTATCATTAGGGGGCCTGATATTTCAAATTTTGCACAAAGTTCTTAACAAAATGTATGGCGTAGCATTTTATGCCACAAGTAGAGCAAGTAATCTTTATTCACATTCAATATTAGAATGTGGCCTCAACTGAGATTACTGATAATCAGAAATAAGATGACATTTAGCAATTCAGAGATCTAAATTTTATTGTTTAGTCCATTGCCCCAAGTGGACATTCATCTTTAGTATAAATCCATTGTCTTCAAAGTCTAACATTATAGGTATCCATTCTATAAAACACGATTAGACAGTCCACACAAACAAGACCTGATTTAATTTCTTTCCTGACCGAGTTCTGTTGATGGCAAAACTCAAATTTCCTTCAGGAGTTATGCCCCAGGATTGAGCCACTGATTTTTTATTATTAATAAAATCAATACATGTGATATTTTATTACAGTGCAAAGCCAGATTTTGTTGAAAAGTAGGAACAATTATAAATCTAATTAAAGAGTCCCTGAGTGCCATTCAGTAAAGAATCAATGATTAACATTGATCCTTAAGAGGAAAAAAAAGGGGGGGGGATTGTTGTTACAAGCACTTACTGAATTTTGAGGGCTACTACTTTATTTTTTCAAAAAAAATATTGGTCACAAATACTAAATTTTTTACATTCTATTTAAAATGGAAATACAATACAACTTATCACAGTTTTGAGGAACGGGACCCAGATTCAGCCATGGTATAAACACCAATAGTTTCAATGGAGTTGTGCCTGCTTACACCAAGGTTGAAGTTGGCCAACACATAAGACTGTTTGAAAGATAGTACAAAAAGTCAAAGTGAAAAAAATTATATTTTTTCCAAACATTTTACAAAGACTTATTAACATTGTTTAAAAGTCATACTGTCATACCATAGGAAACTCAGAATACTAAAGCAACATTACTGCAGTTTCCACAAAAGTGCATAAATGATTAATATAAAAGCTCTGTCCATACCTGCACATTGAAAAATGACTCTTCTTTTAAAAGAGAAAAGGTCACTCTCCCCTGTTCTCCCAAAAATTGCTTTAAAAGGGTCATACTGTCACAGCTTGTTTGTTTTACAGATGTTTAAAAATACAAGTTTCTACCCTGTTTCCCCGAAAATAAGACAGTGTCTTATATTAATTTTTGCTCCCAAAGATGCGCTAGGTCTTATTTTCAAGGGATGTCTTATTTTTCAGAAATGAAAAATGCCTTATTGTCGGTGGATGCTTTATTATCGGGGAGGTCTTATTATCGGGGGGATGCCTTATATTACAACGAGAGGCAAAACTGTAAGTAGGCCTTATTTTCGGAGGATGTCTTATTTTCGGGGAAACAGGGTAGTAATTTAAAAGTGTAAGAGGTTTTACAAGAGAATTTGAAAAGAAGTATCAATGTTCTTAAAATATTTTAAGTTGTCCTTTACATTTAGTTTAGCCTGGATTAGTAATTTTCTAATACACCAGGCTGATGTTGGGGTTTCTTAAAGCAATGGCATTAGATTAAAACGAAACTGAAGCTGCTCATATTCTGATAATTTTCAGAAAGGTGACCAGTAGATTTAGCCCTTAGCCTATTTTTCTATATCCAAACGCATGACCCTTAACATTATCTGCTCTGTCAAACCTTCTTTAGCACATTTGGTGTGCTTTAATAGAAAAGCTTTGCTTTACAATGCTACATTACATTTATAGCTTCGGCTTACTTGGTTATACTGTACTTAATTTTATGAAGTGCTACATACATGTAATACAATATTTTGAACTTATTTAGTCATGAACTAGACTAGTATAAGCTAAAACTGCAAAGGTGTTTCTCTAAAGTTAAATCAAAACCAGACAAAGGCAAAGAGTTATTTTAGGCAAACATCAGAACTTAAAAACAAAAAAACAAAAAACAAAGACACACCACACAGTACACACAACTTGTTTGTTAGTATAACATTTCAGCCAGTTTAGGAAAAAAAATCCAGTTCTCTTAACTGGAGCAGCATATAGGCAGAAACCACAACGTTTATGTAAAGGGGAAAAACCCTAAACAAAATAAAAACGTAAAACAAGTTTTACTTAGGCTAATAAACATGAACTATATTGTTCAATGGGCAAATAATTGCTCTAAATTCAGGTGAAGACTACACATGTACATCAGCTAAAGAGTACTGTATGTATTTAGGCTAGTGAGGCCATAGTCTTGATCATGGTTAAAATGGAAGAAATTCAAAATTACAATTATGATAAAATATTGTTGCATTCCTACACTACATATTTTGGTGATTCAGTTTAAACTCTAAACTTAGTGTCAGAATAATTTTCTTATAACCCAAACTTGAAACATATGGATGAATTTGGCCAAGTTTCTTAGCTGGTTAGGAGGTCTCCCTTGAAGTGAGTGTACTATGACTGTTAGACTGTAGAGAAACACCTTACTTTGCCCTTTATGGCTACTTTGAAGCATCTAACTGCATACATGTATTATAATTAAACAGGGGATGGCAATACTTTGAGACCCCCTAAACAGTGGATGTATTACTAGGTGGTGAATCGTTAGAGACGGCTTTGGATTTAAGACCACAGCAAGCAAAGAGCTGATTCCCCAAGGTTTTTTGGGCAAATCGGAAGTACATTATGTGGCCCATTGCAACAAAGGACACAGAAATAAGCACCAGTAAGCCGAAAGCTTCAGGGTTGGGGGCCAGGATGACCATGATGAAATGCAGCAGATCAAGAAGGTAATTCATGGAGTTCTGGACACCGTTTATAATGCCTCTTTCAGACTCAATCACGTTTTCTTGGAGCAACTGTGTGACCGTCAAATCAAAGGACCAGAGGCCTATGGGGAAAAAACAAAACAAAACAAACAAACCACACCTTAATTTATATTGAAAGGTTAGATTTTCAAAGGGGTCTCATTCTACAGTTATTTCTTTACCAACCCAATCCTCATTATAATGAGCACTGATTTGAAGTCAAACATCTGGGTCAAGTTGTGATCTCATCTGACTTGATTAGACTTTCCATCAGTGTAACTAAAGAATTTTGCCCTTCGCTGCTATTTCTTATAGAGAGAGAACTGGTGCAACACTGAATTAAGTATGCCTGTCAAACAATGCTTTGTACAACAATCCTTTCCTTATTAAGGAGAGAATGGAAATACTCTAGGATTGTGAAAAAAATCTGGATTATTTGACACTCATACTAAAACTGAGTAAGGTAAATATTGTAACATTTAAATTCCTTTAACTAGTTTAAATTCTCCATGTGCAAAAGAGGAAAATGTATAGATACAGTAAGATTAACTTTTTTCCAAAGTAAAATTAAAGAAATTTAGAGCACATCATGTAGACTATAAGCAAAGTCTACTTATTGTTTAAAAAATTTCTCATTCCAGTTGTCATCTCCATTTAAGGTTTGTGATTGTAATAAATAACAGTTCTGTCCTGTGGAGAGATTAATGTGTTGGGGGGAGGGGAGGAAGCACACATGTTTTCAACTGTAAGCACTGCAGGAAAGTTTGATTTCAAGGAGAAACTCATTGTAGTAGCTCCTGTGCCTGATTAATCTGTTTAATTATGATTTAAATTTTCTTTGCAAGTAACCCTAAATGCATGCAAGCCAAGTATTTTCTCCTCCCAAAAGAACAAAAGTATAGGGAAGCCATAAGAGCGGTACTACAAAATGATAGTTATACATTGTTTCATTCATGCAATTAAATTGTTCTGCTCTTTGATTCTGTTGAGGTGTTAATACTAGGCTATCTAGCAAATCCTCAAAGCTTTAATTAAGTGTTATCAAATATATAGCAATTTTAATTAAACATCTGCAAATACTTAACTCCATCTCATGAGAGAGTATACTACATATGTTTACAAAGGGTACTGAGTAAAGAAAATTAATATTGCACAATGCCTTCATTAAGTTGTATACACAAGAAACTAGGGGCTATGGTAACTACATAGCCAAGACTCCTGCAAGATCAAATACAACAAGTTTTAGATTTGTTATGAGTAAGAGTAATGCAGTCAATCTTGGGTTCTTTATTAAAATCTGAGTTTAACAAAAAGGATCTACAACTAATAAAGCTCGAATAGAATTAAAAATAAGCACAGATTAGAGATTTTAATAGACAGACATTACTTACCAACTCTAGCAGCAATGACTCCTGCAAACAGAAGACTAACAGAGATTAAAGGCACAGAGTCAGAACTCATCTCTAGGTCACTGTTAACAGAGCTAGACCTGTTTAACCAGTTGTGCATTCCAGTTGTAAAGGATATTTCAGACATATCAGCTGGAAGTGCAGTAGGCAATGGTTGTCCTTCCAATAACCTGGTACGGATGTCAGCAAATGGGGAAACAGTCAAATCCAAAGGACTTCCAGGCATGAACACAGAAATCACACATAAGACCAAGCAGGCAAACTGGGCTATTCCAGAGATGAAGCCTGTGCGAACTAGGCCACATTTGCGACGGAGCCAGGTAAAGGCTACTGTTCCCATGATTCCAGTTATGGCCGAGGCCCCCATCAGAAGGCTTAGCACAGAACCACTCAAACCCTGAGTGTATGCATAACCTGTAGTAATGCAATCAAAGCCCAGAACGGTCATATAGAGGAATGCAAGACCCAGGCCTGCAAGAAACACAGGTTGGTTGTAGTATGCAACCCATCCATCACGGAATGTGATGAAAGGTTCAGCAATCCGGGCACTACAGCTGATTTCCTTCTCCAGCTGGGGCTCAAAGACTGTTACATCTTTCTCGCCAATTAACTGGACTCCTTCAGTGGGCTTCAATTCGCTATCTGTAACACAGAAACAACTATTAAGTGCTTTCCCGCAAAAGAATTATAGCTCATTATGTTGTATGTATTTAATGAAGGTGCTTCCTTTCTGGGAGGTTTGTCATTTTAAATATATTCTGGTTAATTATGTTACAAAAACAGCTTTGTTAAAATTGTTATATTTCACATTCTACCCATGCCCTTAAATCCAGAAAGGAATAGGGGGAACCAAAAAAAATAAAGCTAGTTTTCACTGATTTAAAAAAGCAGCTTGTTGTGTTACATTGGTGAAGAGAGAGTAGCCTACTCTCTCTTCTCACACTAGGTTTCTTGTGAAATGTGAACACTAAGCAATGGCTTGTGCAAAATAATTTGCTTAATGACACAACTAGACACTTATATAGGGCTTTAGTGTTCAAAGCACTGTACAATTAAAAACCTTCTCATCGCCCCATGGGGTAGGTAAGCAAATATTATTCCCTGTGTTATTGGTGGGTAAACCCAACACAGAGAAGTTAAGTGACTCGCTGAAGGCCACTTAGGGAGTCTGTGTGATAGCTGGGATTCTAATAGAGTCATTCCTGATTTCCAATCCTAGACACTCACACTGTGCCAGGTTCTCATTTTGTTGCAAACCTAAAGCCAGGAGAGAGTTGGCAAAGGTTGAAAAAGCCTTTCAGCTAGAGTGGAAGCCATCTGACACTTTGTGGATGGCTGAACTTTAGTGTGTGTTCTGGAGTTTATTTGAACATGAAGCTTTGCACAAATCCCTGCAAACTGGAAAGCCTGCATGAGGCATATTAACAGCCCTAACAAGTCTAGTTTTAAACCAAGTCAAAATAATAGTGGGGAATGAGACAGGTTTTCTAAACACTGCCAGTTGCTAAGTTTGTCCTTAGTCTCGAGGAGCTTGAAGAAGCCCCATTCAGAGCTCCAAGGAGCTGTACTCGCCTTTTAACCTCTTCACTTCAGCCCCCCCCCCCAACCTGTGTTGTCGTCACCTCTCCTATATCAAGAGGTTGGTAAGGTCTGTTTCTGGAGCACACCACCACTGCTCTAGTATTAACCCCAGGGCACTCTCCTCCACAGAGACTAAATGTGCTTTCTCAGGAGTCCCATGCACTGCTGGTTGGGGAGAAAAGCACTCAGGGGATGTTACTATCTAGGATCTCCTAAACTGTAGTGCGTGGTACTAGCAGTAGACTGCTAAGATGGCATCATCCTTCACCATCTTTTTACTTTAACATTAGACTATTCTAAGTCGTCCTAGAATTTACAAAGAATGTATTTCTTCTTACAATAGCCCTACCCATATGTCCCCCAGGTCTACACTGGTCCCTCCTTAAGTCTTCGAAAGGACAGTCCTCACTTAGTGGTACCTCACATTTAGAGTATCTTTTTCCAGCTACTGCAACAAATCCCATATCCTTGGTGGAGGTTTGGAAGCTCTGCATTTCCTAGGTGCTTTGAGGGGTATTTCCCTGTTAGACATCTCCCTTTTTCAAAGAGAAACATATTCTTTAGACTTCATATTCCAACATCTGCCACATTTTGGATACATTCTATAATTAAAACTGGCTAGTTTAAGAGACCAATTCAAGGAGAGAACCAAAATGTCCATTCTTTAGCTGCTGTTTATGGGGTATTCCAGCCATCTGCAACCTCAAATATTGTTACTCAAAACTAAGTTCATTGGTAATGACACCCGACACTAAAACAAGTTGCTCTAACAGTAAAGAGTAAAATCCTGAAAAGTATCATTAAGCAAAAAAACCTAAGATAGTCTACAGGAGAATAAAATGGAAAATGAATGGTTTCCAGTTTTGGAATGATGGATGTAATGTATAAAATCAATTTTGAAGATATCATTGATACCTTTCTGTACATTCAGTTGTTTCAGCTCCGATTCCTCAATTTTTGAAGTAGCTTTGAGAGCTAGAGCAGGGGTTTTCTGGTAGACTTTCCAGAGCAGCAGATATTCCAAACACATAGACAACAGGTTCCAGCCAGAAATGAAGCCACAGCCAATCACTGGTGAGCCAAAGGTCATTATTTGGCCAACTGCCATTGGGGCCAAGATATTGGTCAGCTGGTCAATTCTTCGTACTGTAGCATTCATATCTATAATATATAATTTGATAAGCAAAATATTAATGAAAACTTACAGCAGAAGTTTTCATTTTAATCTTCTATTATATTACATATACTTGAGCCAAATCCCAGTCCCTACAAAAAAATCAATAGCAAAACTCCTATTGACTTCACTGGGACCAGGATTTAGCCCTTATGTATGATAATACTTCGGTGTCTGATGAAAGTTAGTTTAATTGTATTGGGCTAATCAAACTAACCTCCCATTGCGATCAGAGTTTTGTCTGAGTGAGATGTTTATGATTGGGCATACTGGGATTAAAATAAGCGGGATGAAAAATTATCAAATGTCTTCAGAATACTACTCAAAATGATTCCCCTTTCATCAAAGATCACTATGCACTTCTGGCCCAATTCTGAAGCAACTCTCCTGAAGTTAGTGGGCACACCAAATACAGAATGGATCATGCCCTATGAAAAAAAATATTTCTGTAATGAATGACAGTTTAAGAAACTTCTATCTGTACAATACTGAAACCATGTATTTCTTTGCTTCCTCAGTTCCTCTCTCCAATTACAAATGACCATACAATACCCATTCTGATAGCAACAGACCTTTGATTTGACTAAATTTCCTTCCTTACCGAGGCACGCAGTGGTCATCAATCATTCTGCAATTTCAGAGAGCAAAGTTCTCTCTCTCCCTTCTGTTCCACTCATGCACATTTAGGTGCAGTCCTCTTGGGTTTTGACATTAATATATAGCTCATGGTTCCATTCTAATAATGGGAAGAAGAGTCCTCCCTCTTCCCACCCCATGAACTTTTGCCTTACTTTCCCTACCAAGTTGCTGTGCATATAGTAGTGACTAATCTTTATTTGCATTGAACTGGTGCCATTAGGAATAACTTTATAACTAAAAGCTCTGGAAGAGGCTTCCATCTTTAATTAAGGGCGTAGTGGAATCCCAGTCAATGGAGGCTTTTAAGAACAGGTTGGACAAACCTGTCAGGGATAGTCTAGATTGAATTTGGTCCTGCCTCAGTGAAGGGGACTAGACTTTATGACCTCTCGAGGTCCCTTTCAGCCCTACATTTGACTGTTCTGTGGCCAACGGAAGTCACTGAATGCTCAGCTCTCTCCATCCCTCTCAACAGGCCACACATGTAGGTGCTTAAATATAGATATAAGAGCCTAATTTTAGAGTCCTATTTTGGAAAATCTTGGCCTAAGCTTTCTGTAAAAACCATGAACCAACGGTAAACCAATATATTGATGTTTTCTGGAGTCTGCAGACAGCCTGAAATTGCTTGTTCCTTTCAAGGAATTAACTCTGAAATCTAAAGATGATAAATTGTCAGTATTAATAGCCAATTCACTGCTGATCAAAGCACACAAGACAGGAGTCTTCACACATGAAGACCTGCCTGATCTACTGAGAGAGAGAGAGAGAAGATTGTTTCAGCAAGGAGCTTGGGAAAGTAGCATTCCTCCCACAACACCCCTCCCCCCCACAGATGAGTTAGAAGGGAAGCCATATGGGAATCAAGATGGAGAGAACCATCTGGGATAAGTGAGGTGAGAACAGAATAGCTTTTATTTGCCTGTTCAGCTAAATTACATAGCAGTGTGCCGCCTTTGTGAAAAGAGTATGACTAGAAATATGTTCTTTTGGCCTTTGGTCATTCTGCATATTTCACAATCAAGGTAAATATTTTACAGATGTTCCTCACAATATAATCCTTGTTTTGTTTTAGATACTGTTATAACTAATTAAAAAAAAACAAAACACACCCCACACCAGACACAAAACCCTCCTTGGGAGAAGTCTATAAAATTGGAACAGGTTTTCTGAGTGAGGTATTTGTTTGAAACAGAGTTGCAAGAAGGAATGTGCACGAACCGATTGCCTGATTTCCGAGGCAATCGTACAGAACACAAATGGTCATATGATGCTGCATTAATCTGTCAGAATTGAGGAAAGACAAAAAAGGCAATACTGTCTCTATTACATTACATCACACCTATTACAAAATAGCTCTCCCCAGGGGTGACATGCACCTCTTCTTGTGTGAAGAAGCAGAGAAGGGATGTGATTTGCTAAATACAAACAAGGAAGATTAGTGAGAACCATTAACATTAAGGCTCTGCAAGGGAACTTCCAACAACAACTTGTGTGTTTGAAGAAACTTAAAAGAAATTAAGACACTACTGTTCTACAGAAGGTAATTGCTAAGAAACTACTGCAAGGTCAAAATAGGAGACTAAGAGGGAGTTTGTAATTTGAGAAATTAAAAATAAATAAATCAGAAAAGATTACAAGTTGTGCACTTTCTTTGCCTAATAAGGTTAATTTCTCTAATGTTCTCTGGATACAGGATTCCCTTGGTAATAAGTGTTGATAAATCTTAATCATATCCTGTTAGTCAATGCATTTACTATTGAGTATTAAATACTAAACACAGATGATTTGATGAAATTATATATTTGGTTTGCAGAAATAAAACTGATCTCCCTCGATAGTGTTAGAGTTGGATTAAAAACTAGAACTAGATCGTTACCTAGCCATAAAACTATGTTGTAATCAGAGTTTTACAACAGTCATTTCTAATCTCTGTAAATATAGTGAGGAATATGGTAGGGGGAAAGCTGCCCTTTTAAACTGTTGTTCTCTCACAGCTCTTGGAACATAGAAGAATGTGCTGACTTCAGGGTAAAACTGCAGCCTGTTAAAAAAAAAAATCAAGCCCACATGCCAAGACACTTTTAGGTAGTGGAAATAATGTATTTCACCTGCCAATTTGCTTCTGTCTTCACCTGCAACCACAACAATCCAGTCTCTCTGAATTGTAATTGTAGTGGCAGTGCTGGCCAAATTTGCAATATTTGCTATTGTGATAACCAGGATATAGCACATGGTCTGGAGGAAAGGAAAAAAGAAGTGTTAAACATGTGTAAAATGATGGACCAAGTTAATGACTAAAAGACATCATGACTTTCTTGGACACCCAAAATTATAGTTCTGTATTTTAAACCAATTCACATAAATGTTACTTTTCAGACAGTACAATGATAATATGAACATTTTATTTATTAACAAAGAGGTATGTTCCCCTGTGCCCTTTTGCAACAAAGCTAAAAACAGTAAGTAGGATTTAATGGCCTGATCCTGCATCACTGAAGCCAATGGCAAAGCCTCCATTGATGTCCATGAGTGCAGGAAGAGACTCACTGGGGCAGATACTCAGTTGTAAGAGCTGTATTGGAGTCCAATTAAACTACCAGTAGTTGCTTTCCTTTACTAGTGACATGTAAGAAGTCTTAAATTTGAGCACTTACAAGAAGCCATCCCGAGTACAAGGTCAAAAGTTGGGTCTTAAACAAGAAGACAATCATCAGGATGATACCACACAGGATGACAGATGCATTCTGTACAACCAAGGAAGTCTGAGCCACTGTTTCAGGTTAAAAAAAAAAAAGAAAGTTTATAGAATCTGTGGATATTCCCCATCTTCATGTTTGGAATTATTTAATAATTATTTTTTCCTATACAAGCAATATTCAATTCCTTCCCTCACCCCCCCATTTTCTCTTTTAAAAATTAAGTTTATTTACAAGGTAAACTGTTTAGTGTGCAGAGATCTCATTTTAACTTTGAAATCAACCACTGTCTTACAGAGTCTACACAGAATCAAGTTCATTCTTAGTGTAGTTCCACTGACCTACTAGTGTAATACAATAAGAGAAAAGTAGGCATTCAGCAGGACTTCAAAACACTGTTTTTAAAAAAGCGAGTGCTATTGTGTAAATGCTTTAAAATTACTTTTACAGAACAGGCTTTCAATTAACTACATAATATGTACTCTTCAGTCACCTCTTAACATACAAGAGTAACAAATTACAAAGGCAGTTATAATATACAGTGGGGAATAATGCTAGACAGAAGGAAGTCAGCAAATGTTAAATTATGTTGTCAGATTACTGGATTCCAGGAAACTGATTCTGCAATCCTTGTTCGGGCAAAATTCACATGGATTTCACTCTCTCTCTCTCTCTAGCTACAATTAGAGTTTTGCATGAGTAAGGAATAGATCAGAGCTTAAAATTGGTGTTCTCTTATCTTTGAGATTATCCATATAGAATTTACTCTATTATTCTGAATAGTTTCATATTTATAGACAGTTAGTAAATTAAGCCTGGTTTTCATATTTAACCAGAGGATCTTTCTAGCATGCGAACAGCTGCTTTAGATGACTTCCTCTTCCGACTCGGATTTGAGTCACCCCATAATAGACAATAGCCTCCACTAAGGTTGCTAACCTTTAAGCCTTGGGTTCTTGTCCACCCAATCTCCTATAATGGCTCCCAAAAGGAGAACTGATCCTGCCACAACCAGTCCATAGACGGCAGTCAAGAGTAGGCTGTTTCCATAAAGTTCAACCAGAAAGACAGACACTGCAAAGTGCCACATCCGATCTCCCTTAAATAAGAAAAAAAGTTGATATCAGTATTTGCATTTTGCTAGATAGTAACTGATTTCCATGTTTTAATAGCTCCACAAAGAATACCTGTGCTTACATGGCATTTAACAACTTGGTTACTCCCTTCCCTCCCGCTCCCAATATAAGTCCTATCTGCCATTCTGTGCATGGAGCACCCTCCAATGTCAATGGGAGCTTGGGTCCAGATCAATACTATTATTGGCCCCCAATTAATGTTGGTTATCCCCAATATGTCATAGTACCAAAGGCTTTCTATGGTAGTATTATGAGCCAAAATTCTGTCCTCAGTTACAATCAACAAGCCTGAGAAAGGACCAAGTTTTATGAAGATTCTTCCTCACAGAAGCTTACATTTTCTAAAAGAGCACTGATGATGGTAACTTTGTCCATGTGAAACTTTCGTTTCACAGGGTGGAACTAAGCAACTCTGTCATCTATTCTAGCTGTGCAAGTTTAAAATGACACTGCCAACTTTAATCAGCATTTGTGATTGGAAAACTACAAATTAGTAGGGAGACAAGTGGCAGGTGTTGAATATGAAACCAGATTTTAATTCAGTTATTGAAATTGACTAGATTTCAAGTTAAGCATCCTTAAGTTTCCAACAGAAGAGTGGTATTTAGAAATAATTTATCCTTCCTGTATTGTAGTACCATCATGGTGATGCAAAACTTATGATAGCAATTGCAATAGTTTAAAAACAACTAAGTGTTAAAGATATTTAAGAAGGGCTGCCTTTACACTAGATCCTTGATTTTATGCAAAACAAGTTTCCATTATTGTGATTTACTAACAATGTTGTGCAATATGCATAAATCCACAGCTGGCCATTGAATTTTATTTTTACTTTATTTAGGCCATTAGCTCAATTTACTTTAGAAGTATATTGCAACAAACGCATTGCAGAAGTTGTAGTGTACTACTGCAGACAGTTTGCTTAAGGAGAGTCCCTAATGTTAATCTATTATAGAAAATATATGCTTCAGTTATCAGCTTCTTTTGAAAGGCTCAGTAATCATCTGCATTTCAAAGTCCTTTGTACCACACAGAAGAGTGTTCCAAGTTTGTTGCAAAATAATTTTTTTTGCAAGACCAGAAACTGAGTAATCTAACAAATTGAACAAGATGGCAATAAAGGAAAAGGCCTCCAAAGTGTCACTCTGTTTGGGACTAAATTAATTGTTGCTGAAAGTCCAGGGGAGTAGCAGCAGTATACCCCATTGATGAATTTGGCTTTTGGGATTAGTTAGAATACATGCACGGAGGCTCTTCTGGAGATGGGTTGCTCCAAACACTCACAAATTTAGAAGCTCTATCATTTATGCAAGTGCCTGTGATAGCTGTCAGAAGCAGGGCCACTCAGATTTTTGTCTTGAGCCCCAAAAATCTGTAACTGAGGCCCCTGTGGAGGGAGGGTTGGAGAGCAAGTCTACCCCACATTCATCTTGCAATGGTAGATGTTGTCCTGAGGACCTGGGCCCACTAACACCTGGCTTTGCGATCTTTTGCACAGAATCACACCACCACTCAAGTTTGGTCTGGTCACCCTCACCGTAATGGAGTTGCAGCTGGGACAAACATAAGCAGTGCTGTGACTATGCACCAGGTCACAACACCATTCACTCAAATTCCACAGGCTTGGGACCTCTCAGACAGGCAGACCCCACAACAATTCACTTGAGTTCTCCATGTACAAGGACAAAAAAAAAATTCCTTCTGTAACATGCTATGCTTACATTATTTGGGGTGTGTGTGTAAAACTATGCATAATTTAATTCTTTCATAAATGGAACTTAAGTGTCTTTCTGAATCAAGTATCAGAGGGGTAGCCGTGTTAGTCTGAATCTGTAAAAAGCAACAGAGGGTCCTGTGGCACCTTTGAGACTAACAGAAGTACTGGGAGCATAAGCTTTCGTGGGTAAGAACCTCACTTCTTCAGATGCAAGACATGAAAGCTTATGCTCCCAGTACTTCTGTTAGTCTCAAAGGTGCCACAGGACCCTCTGTTGCTTTTTTCTGAATCAAGAACTCAGTACGATTCAAGCTACTTCTTATTCAACTTTCACTTACAAATGTATGTAGGTGGTCACTGAACCCTAAATTCTGGCTAACCTGTTTGATTGTTCATTCAGATAGAAATTTAATTCAGGAGAAAGCACTACTTTCACAATGATGCAGGCCTGATATACTTCTATTCCTGCATCAAAGTTTTAGTTGTTGAACTTGATTAAATAAAAAGGAGCTTTATGGAACCCCCATCCACATGCACCCTGACGGCTATTACTCTCAAGGTAAAATCTTGGCCTCACTGAAGTCAATGGCAAACTCCAGTTGACTTAAACGTGCTCAAGATTGCTCCCTCAGTATCTGCAGGCCAAGATCTTGCTACTGGAGACTAAAAACCCAAATACATATTAAGCGTAGCCTTCTCTTGGTTCCCTATGCCTGTACTACATTGTATGAAACATGGACATTACTCTTTAGCTTTTATTAATGCAAAAAAGTTTAAAAAGCAGTTTTGTCTTGTTTAGACAATACTGCTCAAAGCTACTGCTACAGAATCAGCAGTTTAGGAGTTCATTAACTGGGCAATTTCATCCATTGTGTTCACTCACAGTACTTTCATGCTACTCCACATTGTCTCAACTTCTCCAAAGCTAGCTGTTTTCAACAGCGGAAGCATACTGGTTTTTGTTTTGAGGTTGTATTTTTAAAATCAACTTTAAAGGAAAAAAAAAAAAGTCAGAGATCAATTAATGGCACAGAACAACAGTGAATTGAAAATTAAGCAGCACAAACAGAAAGTAACAACCTAGTTATTCATTTTTAAACTACAGCCAGGACTCAGGGAATTTTGATAATAAATTTAGCCTTAATGCAGGGGTGCTGGAACAATTTTTATAGTGGAGTGCTTGAGAGCCTTATTGAACCAAACTGTAAACCCTGTATATAAGGGAAACCACTTCAAGTCAGGGAGTGCTGCAGCACCTCCCGCACTGCTAGTTCCAGGACCTATGCCTTACTGAAAAGGCAGAAGCACATAACAGGCTTAATCCTGCTAGTCTTGAGATCTTCTAATCATTCATAACATGGATATTAAACCCTATTTCTGTATGAATGACAGCTATTATCCTAACCATTCCTCTTTTAATGGCAGTTCGATGATTTTAGCACCGTATTATACTAGTACTGTATACAGCTGATAAAATAAGGTTTAAGGCCCAGATCGCCAGAGGTATTTAGGTGCCTAACTTCCATGGATTTCAAAATACCTGTGGAACTAGGCATAAGGCACCAGCTCAGTGGAGCACTTAGCTTGTCCTTGACTTCTACAGTACTTAAGCACATGTAGTTAAGAGCAGGTGCTTAACATGGAAGCTGATTACGTTTTCCAAACTAGAGTAAAAGGTTTAGCTATACAAGATTATGTATTTTGAATACATATCACTGATATTTCAGAATGAAAACTATACATAAGCCATTTCAGAGGTCTGGGTTGATGTGTTTCCATCCTGAGGGGCAGAGAAAGATCAAACAAAAATAACTTTCCCCTTCTCTCCTCCTCCCTTGCTCTATTATTGAAAGTAATATTTTAGGCGCCAAAGAGGAATTATTGTGGGTTAAAGAATTTTAGACAAGTGCAGGACTGAGCCTTAAAAGTTAGACTAAACATCTGTTGCTTAAATAGGAGTTTTCCTGATTAAAGACAGTGGATTTAGACCCTCAATTGGGTTTTTGAAATCAATAAAGATGTATAGTGTTTAATATTTCTATACGCTGACATTTTTCACTCAACTGTTTGCAGTAGTCCAGATTATTATCCTAAATGCCGAGTCAGTCACCCTTATTCATGTTGAATGATACCTTACCTTAATCTGCAAGTAGCCCCACTGATGGATTTCAGTGGGACCAATCACATAGTAAGGTGCCACTCTGTTAGTAGAAATAGCAGAATCAGGCTCAATGTGCGTTTTGTTGACTGAACATACTACTTCTCATAACAGTAGTAGCACCAACAAAGTCTTTGGACTAAAATAATTCATTGCTATATTGCACCTGTCTAAACCAAAAGTTTACTCTCTCTCCAGGCCTTCTTAGGAGGAACGCAACTGTAATCCTTTACATTAATGAAAGTGAGGCATACAAACTTGTAGTCCTAGAACAGTGTGCTCACTGCTGTACAAAGTACATACCAAGCCAGTCCCTCCCTCAAAGATTTTTACAAATTAGAACAGACATAGAAAGACAAGGCAGGTATTCAAGAGGAACAAGTTACTTTAAAAAAGTGCTTTTATTCATCTTCTTAATACTTGTCTTTCAGTTGCAAGATACTGGATTAAAATTATATTAAACAATGTAGCATTTCTCAGGCTAGATTTTGCCACTTCATATGATTTTAATGAACTGGGAGATACATTTCATCCAAATCAATTTCTAGATCTCCTTCATTCACCTTGAAGCACTGTAAATTGCTAACAAAGGTTGGTTTAGATACAGGTAAAATTGTTTCAATAAATAGACACTGTTACAGGTAAGGATGTTACAGTTTCAGAAAAACAGAGGTTTGTTAATAAGTACTGATGACTAGGAAATCTATTGTGCAACATTCAGTAATTTACATTGGTGAGCAGGTATACAAACCCTTCAAATTATAAAAATCAAGGACAAAGCAGTACAAAATATACTTTGATCAGTAGGGCTCAGTTTTATTGTTATCCTCCACCCACTTTGAGTAGTATTTACTCTCTAACAAGCCTTACTTGTTTCAATGACATTCCTCAAGCAGTAAGGTATCACTCAGTGTGAGTGAGGGTAGTGAATCAGGCCCTTAGACAATTGTGAGCACTGCACTTTTATTAGCAAATATACTGTACCATATCATGTGAAGATTATGAAGACTTAGTGAGATCTCACCACAACACTTTGCAATTAAGTCTTTGCCAAAGACCACCTTCTGTATATAAATATACAGTGTGCCTTACAGACTAGTCAAAAGCAGATTAAGGAGATTCCACTGCATGATGTTTGTTTGTGCATTAAATATACACACACACACTTACCCAAGTGGAGAGTGCATGTCCAAGATAAAGAAGAAACTTTGCAGATGTAAAATAATTGACACAGGATCCTAAAAATAAAAATGAGAGAAATGCTGAAGAGGATTAAGGTGCATTTTGCATCTTCCTTGGTTGCTACTAAGTTTTATTCATTTTAAAGTCAGCAATCTCTACACTGGAAAAGTCTTATCGCAAAAATAAGCTAAGATTTTTGCTATACATGTTTTAATTCAACACACTGGAATAGCCACAGCATAGCAGTTGTGCAAGAGAAAAAAACATTATACTAAATGAAGAAACACTGAATATATCTCAACATGTCTTACTAGCTAAATATGCACAAAGTTTTGCAGCATATTTACATTATGCCACCTGATTGTACCCCATCCAACTCATCCCACATGCAATACCAGACAGCGTTTCTCAATGATCAGTCTGCAGACTAACACCAATCCCTGAGATCTCTCTGACAGAGTTTAGGAAGGCAGCAAGCCAGTCCCTGGTATCAAAAAGGTTGAGAAACACTGCACTACGCCACCTGTGTGTGCAATTTTTCCACACAACACTCTACACACACCCACCCCACACATACATCTAAGGCTAGGTCTACAGTACGCGGGAGGGGGGGGGGGCGAATCGACCTAAGATACGCAACCTCAGCTACATGAATAGCGTAGCTGAAGTTGCGTATTTTAGGTTGACTTACCTGGCTGTGAGGACGGCAGTGAGTCGACTGCTGCCACGCCGCCATCGACTCTGCTTCCGCCTCTTGCCGCAGTGGATTTCCAGAGTCAACGGCAGAGCCATCGGGGATCGATTTTATCGTGTCTTCACTAGACGCGATAAGTCAATCCCCAATAGTGAAGACGTGCCCTTAGACTCTAGTTCAACCACAAGTCACTAGACTCGATGCAAGAAATACAGAATGTAATTCTATGGCCTGTGTTACAGAATCACAGAAAAGTAAGGCAGGAGCTCACACTACATGAGGGGTTTTCAAACTTCATTGCACTACAACCCCCTTTGGGCAATAAAAATTACTATGCAACCCCAAGAGGGGGGGGGACTGAAGCCTGAGCCAGCCCAAGCCCCCTAGTGGGTTAGGGGGGCCAAAGCCCAAGGGCTTCAGCCTCAGGCAGGGGGCCTGTAACCCGAGTCCCAATGCCCAGGTCTGAAGCCATTGGGCTCTGGTCACAGGCCCCAACAAGCCTAAGCCAGCCCTGGCAACCCCATTAAAATGGGGTCCTGACTCACTTTGGGGTCCCAACCCACAGTTTGAGAACCGCTGCACTACATGATCAATAGAAACCTTTCTGGCCTTAAAATCTCTGTATACCTACTGCACAGCCCACTGCAGCTGAACCGCACGATGCCATGCCATGCCCCCGTCCCCGTAACCTACACATGTAATGTCACATCTGAGCGGCATGGGGTGAAGTGCTTGTCAGTGCCGCCCCCGTGCACACTCGCACTCCTTCCGAGGCAGCGTACCCCACAAACGTGCTGCGTCCCTTCTCTACCAGCCCCCTCCGGGTCAGCAGCCCCCCGGGCTCCCCGCACGATACTGACCACAGGATCCTCCGCCGCTTGTCTGCTCTGCTGCCCGAGTCATGTCCGCTTGCGCCCCGATTCCTGCTCGCTCTGCTGCGCTGCCAGTCCTGTACCCCAGCCGCGGGCGCAGAGGAGGGGACGCACGGGGAGCAGGAGGGGACACGGCTTCTCTGAATGTTTCTTTCCCAACTTAGCTATCACTGTAGCTGAAGTTGGGAATCGATAGCCTTATGCGCAGGGGCTGGAGGGGCTGCGCTCCACCGGGAAGGGGGCCCAGCCAGGCGCCCAGCTCCTGCAGCCGCTGCTACGGCTGCCTAGCGGCTCGCCACCCTTTATAGCCAGGCTGGGCCGAAGGCGGGGATGCGGTCCCAGGATCAGCCTATCAGCGTCCGCCTGATCTGCATGTCTCCGCCCAGCACGTGTAGTACGGAGAACTGCTCCCTCTGGGAATATGCTGTTTATGGCGTACGGAGCATGCGCACAAGAACTGCGTATGCTCAGTAACCGCTGCTGAAGCCACTGCCCTCCGACCTGCCCTTATTAGCGGAAGGTTCTAGTGCCTGCTTTTTTACAGGGGCTAAAACGGGGCAAAGGGGGCAAATCGGGGGAGGGGGATGGCCAGGGACTGAGCAGGAGGCGAAAAAGACCCGCCAAGCCTCGCCCAGCCTATGGGGGGGGGGGCGGCGGAGGGATAAAGGAGCGATGCGGCAGGGACGTTAGACGGTTGTGGAGGGGAGTTGAGCCGGCTGTGGGTGGCGCGCAGGATGGATGAGGAGGGGCTGGAGGGGCAGCAGAGCAGGTGTAGGGATCTGGTGGCGCCTCACAGGCTCCAGGATCTGTGTCCCCGCCCGAGGGGCAAATCTTCACGTCTTAAAATGTTGTAACCTGCTTCGCAGAGTCACACCCTGGGCTTTCCGCGTGTTAATGAAGTAGGTGATGCCTCGGAACAGTCAGGCTTTGTCCCGTCCCTCGCCTGGACTCCTGAAGGATGTAAGCAGCCAGTACTTTAACAACCTGTCTCATGTATTGACTGCTGCAGGGATCCCCAACGCGGTGCCCGCGGGCGCCCTGGCGTCTAAGTGTGCCCGCGTACAGACAAGCATCCGCCGAAATGCCGCCAAGAAGCAGCAGCATCCAGAGGCTGGATTTTCCGTGGCATTTCGGCGGCGACGCCTCTGGATGACGCTGCTTGTTGGGGGCATTTCGGCGGCGACGCCTATTGACATTGCCGCTTGTCAGCGGCATTTCGGGAACCGGCCAATGGGAGTTTGGAGCCAGTGCTTGGGCGGGGGGGCGGCGTGCAGTGCCCTGTGGCCCCCCTGCCTAGAAGCCGGACCCACTGCTAGCCGCTTCTGGGGAGCAGCGCGGTGTCAGAGCAGGTAGGCACTAGCCTGCCTTAGTTGGGCAGCATCACTAATGGGACTTTTAACGTCCCGGTCAGCAGTGCTGAACAGAGCAACCCAGTGCCTTACCTGCCGCAACCCAATCCCAACTTTGAAAAACGCTGTTTTAGTGTGATCTTTTGCCCAGTAAAGATGGTCTCTAGTACAGGTTTCACTGTACTTCTTTCCGCACCATATGGGCAATCTGCAGCATTCACCGTGAGCGGAAATTACAGAAACAAATAATTTTGTAGAATTTTTAAATGGTAGATACACCTCTACCCCGATATAACGCTGTCCTCGGGAGTCAAAAAATCTTACGGCGTTATAGGTGAAACCGCATTATATCAAACTTGCTTTGACCTGCCGGAGTGTGCAGTCCTGCCCCCCCCCGGAGCACTGCTTTACTGCGTTTTATCCAAATTCGTGTTATATCGGGTCGCATTATATCGGGGTAGAGGTGTATTTAAATGAACATTTACAATATGGAGTTTTTCTGGCTAGGATGTCATGCAGATGTTTTAAGGTATATCAAATCTTGTGCTTCACAGTTCATGGTGATTGCTCCTGATGGCACCATGTGGGAGATTTATCTTCTCATTGCAGAGCAGCAGTTTTCAAACTGTGGGTTGGGACCCCAAAGTGGGTCATGACCCCGTTTTATGGAGTCGCCAGAGCTGGCGTTAGACTTGCTGGGACTCAGGGCCGAAGCCGAAGCCCAAGCACCACAGGACTGTGGGCTCAAGCTTTGTCTTCAGCCCTGGGTAGCAGGGCTCAGGCTTCGGCTTCAGCCCAGGGTGGCGGGGCTCAAGCTACAGGACCCTCCTGGGGCTGACGCCCTTGGGCTTCGACTTCCCCCTGCCCAGGGCAGCAGGGCTGGTGGGGGGGCTTGGGCTTTGGCCCCCCCACCTGAGCTGTGGTGCTCGGGCAGGTTCGAGCTTGGGTGGGTTCAGGCTTCGGTCCCCTCTCCTGTGGACGTGTAGTAATTTTTGTCATCAGAATGGGGTCGTGGTGCAATGAAGTTTGAGAAACCCTGTGCATTGCAAAATTGGCCTGGTGAATTTATGGGAGCGGGTTTTCTTCCCCAGAAATATTAGGTATATAGGTCATTGCTGGAGGCAAGATACCAAACTCTATGGACCAGTAATCCATTCTGGTATGGTCACGCTTGTGATCCTGTTCAAAGTATTTCTCTATTAAAGAGGTGGCTACATTTTTTATCAATGAATCACAGTTTATTCTTTGTATAAAAAGAACACTCCCCTTGGAAAAAGTAATACACCTGCACATAAAAAAGGAGGGCTACAATTACTATTTTTATGGGGAGACTGTATATCCTGAAATTAGTTTAGTAGTTTTTCCACAGTGTATATTAACTAGAAAAAACACCAAATCTTTCTCTCAGGTTGGGATCAAAGACAGAGGAAGTTTTGGGACTGCCCATATTACAAAGCCTAAGTGCCTTCATTGTACTGTACTTCATCAGCAGGTAAAATTTCTTTGTTACTATTATGATATATTAAATAAATATCATATATCAGAAATGAACCAATATTTAGTTGATGATTAGACCTATTTACTAAAGGCTTGATTCTGCATCCTTTACTCACAAAGAATAGTACTTTACTCTTTGAGTAGTCCCATTGATTTCATGGGGAGTACCTGTAGAGTAAGACATTACTCAAGGGATATTAAACCTTGTGCTTCAGTGTTTAAACCAATCTCTAGCTATATGATGCCAGGTCTGACCTATGTGAAAGGCAGATTATCCCACATCTGGTTTCTAACACTCTCACCTCTGCAGCATCTAGTTCTGACCACTGTCAGAGAGAGGATACTGTCCTCAAAGGAGGGTGGTTCTGATCCAGTATGTCAATTTCAATGTTTCTATGTTTGAGAGGCAGAACTGGGCCCTAAATAGTTTTCTATTAAATTGCTATGATCCTTCAAATACATTTGATGCCAACGAACCATGTCAGGAAAATACTAAACCAGAGTTTTGTTCATGCTTTTTTTCTTTCCTGAGCTTCCCATGATGAAAGCTGGATGAATTAAAATACAAAACCACAAATACAATAAAAATACAAAATACAGTATAAAGAATACAAATAACAACTGGAATGACTCCATACACATTACAAATGGTGCATTATATTGTAAGATTGAAAACAATGTCCTCGTTGTTTCTTCTGCACCTTTACTGCACTGATGACACCCCCCCTTCCCCTCCCAATTTTGTGGTGGTTAGAGTATGAAATTTGGATTCAGAAAGCCTAGTTTCTGTTCCTGGATCATGTGTATGCGTTTACCTGGGGCCCAGAGCCAGTGCAGAGATATGGGCCCTCCTTGCAGATGGCCCTGGCCTCCCACAGATCACCTGGCATATGTATATTTATGAGCAAACTCCACCCTCCAAGATAATAATCCAGATATTTCCTCCCCTTTACTCCATCATGTGGGTTTTCCCATAGGAAGGATTGATCAGGCAGGGGGAAATTTAAAATGCTGTCCTTTGTTTTGAAAGCTCTCTTAATTCTACAAAGCTGTCTCCTAACAGGCACAGGAATAAACACAAATAAACTGTGGACACATTATAATCTTCCTAGACAAATTGTTTATTGGATCAACAGTTCTAAAAGCTCTTAGGCTTTATTTAACAAACAGATAAAGTTGTTTTCTCAGTTATAGCCTAAGTGAAGAAATACAACTATTGAAATGGTTTTGGATTTTTAAACTACAGATTAATAACTAAAACAATTTGCAGTTCACACAAGATAGCAAGGACTTCTCTAATGAGCAGAAGGAGCAGATGATATAAAACAGGAAAAACTGTGGCATATCCAAACTGTCTCTGATTAACAGTTTGTTGTAACAATAACATTGCAAAGGTGCAACAGCAGAAAGTGTTTTAATTATTAGTATATGTGTAATTGTAACATAAACTGGATTAAAGGGATATTGAAATATATTTCCTGGAAAAATAATGACATAAAAAGTATTTGGGGATAGTATGTGCTTTTGAGCCGTTGCCCACATCGGTGGCAGTATCTAGAAGCACTGAGGCTGTAACAGAGATGCTGCAACCAGAGCCCTATCCATGCTAGGGAATTTTACAAAATTATTCCCACCAGTTCTACCACTGATTCAGAAGAAGTGTTAGTGTCAGCGTGAGACTTCATGTAGAATAAGATTCTCTGTCCAGATTACTTAAAGATTTTAGTAAATTTAATTAACATGATGGTAAAAAGCACCAGAGGCTGCTGGAGCCCTTCCTGTATTAGGGTTCCCATTCTGATGTGAGTTTTTCTGTGAAATATACCTAGTGTAGACAGAGCTTAGTAATGCTGAGGAGCAATGAAACTCCTTACTGTGCTGGCCCATGTGCGGAGGCAGTAGTGCTGTGGCTCTGTCCTTGTCTAACTTTATGGATTTTAGCTATCAGCACTAAGTCTCCTAGTCCATTGACACATGGAGCACGAGGACCAAGAATATGACTAGCCCCTGTATGGGGGAACAATAGGGGTGGGAAAATTCCTCATGTTCACCAAGCCTCCTGCCCAACGTTCTTATTCAGGGCTAGGCTCATTCTTCTTATAAACTTGCTCTCTAGAACATAATCTGCACACCTCTCTGTTCTTACCTCTTTTCATGTCTCACATCCCTCCATCTACCTTCTTCATATCCTTCTCCCCATCTTACCAATGGGCTTTATTCCATTCAGCCCTTATCCCTGGAGCCTCATCTCTGACTGAGGTCACTATGTCTCTATCTTTTCCTCCTTGAAACACACTTCTGCCAAACAGCTTAGGACCCTCCTCAAAGAAGTGTTAACAATAGAGGTAACAGGGGGTGAGTGAAAAACAGAGAAACAAAACTGAACAAAATATCATGGAACTAGCAAGATGCATGATAAGTAGGGTGACCAGATGTCCCTATTTTATAGGGATAGTCCTGATATTTGGGGCATTTTTTTCTATAGACGCCTATTACCCCCCACTCCCTGTCCCGATTTTTCACACTTGCTGTCTGGTCACCCTAAATAAGTTCACAGCTCACTCACCCTCTCTTGCATCCATTTCCCCCCCAAACTTTGCTTATGTGTTATCAAGACTCTGACCCTGCAGCGGACAGCATGGGTAGACCCCTAAACCTAAACCTGTGCAAATCCCCACTGAAATCAATGGGGCTCTGTGCAGGTACATACTCACACGGATTCAGTTGCAGAATTAAATCAAAATCCAGCAATAGGATTAGTAGAGGTAATGCTTGTACCATCAGCTGAGCATATATCCCAGAGGTGGCCAAACTGTGGCCCGCGAGCCATCTGCAGTTCTTTTACAGTTAAAGTGTGGCTCACTGAGCCCCCCACATCTGGCCCATTCTCCATCTACCAGACTTGAGGAGGGTGGAAGTTCGGGACCTCTGCCTTGCAGCAGGGTGGGGGCACAGGGGATTCTGCCCAGCAGGGACAAGGGCTCTCAGGGCTTCAGCCCCGCCAGACGTGTCTGCTGGGGCTTGGGGCTTCAGCAGGAGTGGGACTGAACAAGCACCGAGCCCAGCAGGTGCTTCCCACGGGGCAGAAGCCCTGAGCCCCAGCAAGTGTGCCCAGGTTCTCAAACTTCTGAAGATTGTCATATGCGGCTCAGAGGGTCAATAAATTTGGCCAACCTTGGTATATTCCCACCTTTTTCTAAAATTAGGCAAAACCGTGTGGTCTTACCAGATCTGTTGTTCCTCCTGGATTCTTAAATGGCAATGATGACCCATAGGACCTTTCATTTATAGTTAGATGATAGGCTGCAATCATTCCTGTCTAAAACAGATGTTATAATGGGCATATTCAAGTTTGTCACCACCAAGATAGACTACAGTGATACACTCAATAGGAAGACCATTCAGAAGCTCCAGTAAGGTCAAAATACAATGGTTTGCCTGAATTGAGTAGACCTCTCCAAGCACCTATTAACCCTGTACTAATGTGTCTGCATTGGCTCCCTGTTTGCTTCTGTGTGCAGTTCAAGGTGTTGTTGGGTGAAAAGTGTTTAATACTCAGATTGGAGTGAAATTTGATTACCTAAGACTGTCTCTAAGCCCTATAGGTGGCTGTTCATATCAGCTGGAAGGCTCTTGCTGTCAGCTCCCGATACTGTACCTTCCAGGTCCTCCAGCAGGACTTTCTCAATTAAAAGTCTTTGACTTTGGAATTCACTCCCTTTGGTAGTCTGCCAAAGCACAATACTAGCAGTCTTCAGAATATCAGGCAAGTTGCATTTATTTGGTATAACCGTTAAAATATGGTTGCTACTATTCTGACTGCTGAAGCAGTGGTTTCTATGAATGCTACCACCACGAGTAGCTTTAGTTAATGTGTTTGAAAATGTTGTAAATAAGTGACTAGTTGTGCTGGCAACAGGTGCTTAGAAACCATGAAAATAAATAAATAACAGAAGGGACAGAAGTAGCAGATGGTACAAAAAAATAGAAAGTACAGAATATTTTGGAATGGTATATAAGCATACAAGATACTGCTTATTAATTTAAAAATACACATTGTGAATAAAAAGAACACACTAGTGTCCAGTATAATGTAATGAACAAGGTTTTTCTTTGAAATTTCACAAAATTAAAGAATGGAATATACAAAGGGTGGCATCAGTGGCATAAATCTGTGTCCATGACAGTGTGTGACAACAGAGGATGCTTCTCTGATGAAAAAATTATTGCAGGAAAAAGGATTTGGTTGCAATTTGACTACTGAATATATTCATTCATTAAAAAAAGAAGGCACTGTGCATTAAACAGGTGCAATTTAAGATTCTTGTACCAAGTGTAAAAGAGTGAATAAAAAGAAAGTAAAATGTCACATTTTGTTAACAGTAATGAGTGGACATGCCATATACAAATGACAACAATGATATTTCTGCAAACAGCTCCCTACATCACACTGTAAACATTTGCTCTCCAGAGTCTGAAAGTAATTGCTTGAATTGGAACACTATGTTTGGAGGAAGCAATTAAAATCACTCTTCAGCATTCAATGACAGGCTACCTGTAATTCAAGCTTGTTTTGTTTAGTTTTCTTCTTTACTGCTTACAGCAATTTGTCCACTCCAGGGCATTACTGTTCCCTATGACTAAGCAATGCAAAATGTTTAATGATCAGGATTTTATTGACTGGATATATTTTGACCTGCAAAAAGAAAACATTTGGATTTATCACTCATTTCTCCCCACAACTTTTACCCCTCCCCCCTCCAAAAATACATTTTTCTACATTTATGTCTGAAACAGTTGTTCAGGAGTTTTACTGCAAATGATAACATCAAATACAAGTACAAACCAGACAAGATTTTTATTACTTTTGGAAAATACCTTTCTTGCAAATAATGCATTCTACATGCTTGAAGATCACCCAGAAGTTTAAATTAGTGCAAATCATGTCTGCCTGCTTACTCAGCCAGATTCTGATGTTCCCACTTAACCTCCAGT